CTTCTACCCTTTCCCATGATCCCCATGTTCCCAATTTACTCAGAAGATCTTCTCTTTTTCTACTTTTCATGTAGATTACATCCATACACATCTCTATTAGATCTTCTTTGTTGTCTAGAGTAGATAGAATTAACATAGTAAAAATGGCAATCTTACCTAAAGCAATTTACAGATTCAATGCAATGCCCATCAAAATCCCAGCAAAAATTCTTTACAGACCTTGAAAGAACAATACTCAACTTCATATGGAAAAACAAAAAACCAAGGCTATCTAAAACAATACTGTACAATAAGGGAACTTCTGGAGGCATCACAATCTCTGACTTCAAACTCTGCTATAGAGCTACAGTACTGAAAACAGTCTGGTATTGGCATAAAAACAGACAGGAGGACCAATGGAACAAAATCAAAGACCCAAATATCAATCTACACACCTATGAATACCTGATTTTTGACAAAGAAGCTAAAAATGTAAAATGGAAAAAAAAGAAAGTGTATTCTACAAATGGTGCTGGCATAACTGGATATCAACATGTAGAAGAATGAAAATAGATCCATATCTATCACCATGCACAAAACTCAAGTCCAAATGGATCAAAGACCTCAAAATAAAGCCGACCACACTGAACATTATAGAAGAGAAAGTGGGAAGTATACTTGAACACATTGACCCAGGAGACCACTTCCTAAATATAACCCCAGTAGCACAGACAATAAGAGCATCAATAAATAAATGGAACCTCCTGAAACTGAGAAGCTTCTGTAAAGCAAAGGACATAGTCAATAAGATAAAATGGCAGCCTACAGAATGGGAAAAGATCTTCACCAACCCCATATCAGACAGAGGTCTGATCTCTAAAATATGCAAGGCATTCAAGAAATTTGTCACCAAACTGATGAATATCTTGCATATCACCATAGAACCTTCATCCGGCGATGGATGGAGATAGAGACAGAGATCCACATTGGAGCACTGGACTGAGCTCCCAAGGTCCAAATGAGGAGCAGAAGGAGGGAGAACATGAGCAAGGAAGTCAGGACCGCAAGGGATGTGTCCACCCACTGAGATGGTGGGACTGATCTAATGGGAGCTCACCAAGGCCAGCTGGACTGGGACTGATGGAGCATGTGATCAAATCAGACTCTCTGAATGTGGCTGACAATGAGGGCTGACTTAGAAGCCAAGGACAATGGTACTGGGTTTTGATTCTACTGCATGGACTGGCTTTGTGGGAGCCTGATTTGTATGGATGCTCACCTTCCTAGACCTGGATGGAGGGGGGAGGGTCTTGGACTTCCCACAGGGCAGGCAGGGAACCCTGACTGCTCTTAGGACTGGAGAGGGAGGGGGAGGGGGAGGGGGAGAGGGGAGTGGGAAGGAAATGGGAGTTGGGGAGGAGGTGGAAATTTTAATAAATAAATAAAAAGAAAAAAAAGAAATTTGTCATCAAAAGATCAAATAATCCAATAAAAATTGGGTACAGACCTAAACAGAGAACTCTCAACAGATGAATCTAAAATATATACTCACTTGTAAGTGGCTTTTAGACATAAAATAAAGAAAAATAGCCTACATTTCACAATTCCAGAGAATCCAGACAACAAAGAAGAACCTAAGAGAGACATAACTTTATTTATTTTTTAACAGGGTATCTGGGGATCTATCTGTTACCACTTACCGGTTCAGGAGTTACAAGCCCATATAGCCATGTCCAGTTTTTGTGTGTGTGCTGGGATCCAAGTTCACAGTAAGCACTTTACCCATGGATCCATCTCTATAGCCCATTTGAGAATGAATTCTATACGATTTTTATTTTGAATTTTTCTTAATATTTCTAAAATAAGTAACTACGGTCCTTATAATAAAAGAAAATTATTTATAAGGTAGTGAGGCAGGGGATGAGCAAGTCCATACCTTTAGGTATTCTTTGTCTCTTTATGTTGAGGTTAAGCATTCTCAGCATAGAGTGCTGTAATCCCACCAGCCTGCCATGTTTGATGTTTTCCTGTGTCTATCTGCATACTTTCTTTTTAGGTACACATGGAATGTCTTGAATTCTAAAGAAAGAGTGTTGCCAGAAAAAGCATCTGGAATTTGACGAAGGAGGGCGGGAGCCTAGAGCTCTTCTTTGGAATCCTGCAGTTCCTTTCTCTCCCAGTTTAAACTACATCCCTATCTTCATTTGCTACTCTCTCAGAGTAATCAGCATGCTTCACTATATTCTTGGTTCTCTGCACCCCACTTCCTAGGTGGGAATTTCTGAGTTCAAATTCAATATCTCTGTATTTATATTACTTCCTTTCATAATTCATCAGTCAACAAAATGAACACAGAACTGAATCCAGATGGCTTTTTTCTGTCCTCTTTATCTGAACTCACCTCTCTTCCGGTTCTTCAGTCCCTAAGAGCAAGCCCAGGTCATCCTGCCTCTGGCTTTCTGTAAGATCCCCTGAAACATGGATTTTATCTCCCAGCTTAGCATCTTCCCCAGTGTCTGCAGCAGAGCAGTCTCAATTAGGGATTGTTCAACTTTGCAACCTTCACAAAGCTTTTAGTCAGCCAGAGAGCAGTTGGCTGCATTCGAAAGGCCCTGCATTTTCATTTTATCACCAGAAAGAAGAAAACAGAAATGAAAAATTCTTAACAGCAAATGTCCACATAAACTCTCTAAAACATCTAAAATTATAAGAGGAAGTTTAATAGATCTAGGGAGATAGCTCAGTGTTAAGAAAGCACTTTTAGAGCAAAACCAGGTTGAAGTCCCAGCAGCCAACTGTCTGTAACTCCAATACCAGGGGATTTGTCTCCATGTTTTGGCTTCCTCAAGTACCAGCCATGCATTTGATGCACAGACACACATGCAGGAAAAACACACACAAACATGAAATAAAATAAAAATTAAGTTTAATGTTCTCTTTCTCACACACACACTCAGACACACGCAAAGTTTTATGCAACCATAAAGAATAACATAATGATGTTATTTTTACGAAAATGGATGAAATTGAAGATCATCATAGTAAATGAAATAAGGTAGACTCTGAGTGAGATCCCTCATCTGGCGTTGGATGACGATACAGATGGAGGCCCGCGTTGGAGCACGGAACTGAGCCCCCCAAGATCCAAATGGAAGGAAGAAAATGACGAAGGACTGCGAGGGATACTATCACCCACTGATACAAGGGGTCGGATCTAATGAGAGTTTACCAAGGCCAGATGGACCGTGACTGAACGAGCATGTGATCCAACCAGATTCTCTGAATGTGGCCGGATTTTCTGAATGTGGCTGGCCTGCAGTCTTACTGAGAAGCCATTGACAATGACACTGGGACTGGTTTCCTCTGCATATACTGGATTTTTGGGATCCAGTCTGTTTGGATGCTCACCTTCCTGGACCTGGAGGGAGGGGGGAGGAACTTGGACTTCCCACAGGGCAGGAGACCCTGACTGCCCTTGGGGACAAAGAGGGAGGAGAAGAGGGAGGGGGGGAGTGGGAGGGCGTTGGGAGGAGGGGCGTAAGTGGAAACTCTTTATAATTTAATAAAATTACTTTCAAAAAAAAAAAAAGAAATAAGGTAGACTCAGAAAAACAAATACTACATTTTTCTCACATGTGGGCTTAATTTTTTTAAAATATATGAAATGAAAATAAAGAGGAACGATTTGAGAAGAGGAAGGTTATTGGGAAGAGGCGCTCAAGAAAAAGTAATGGGGTAAACACCACTAAGGCACATAATATACATGCATGGCAATGCTGTAAGTAAGCCCATTATTTTGTAGAAAGAATATGTAGTAACAAAAAAAAAGCAAAATAGAAAAAGAAATTTAACATTTTTGATTGAACTTTTCTATTGTTTCTTTTTAGTAACTTAGTGTAACAATCATAGATGTTTGGCTAATGGAGAGGTTGTATATTATTGCTTACGCCTTTTGTTTGGTCACAGCATCTTACAGGCAGAAGGCTAGGTTTCAGTGAGGTGAGAGGAGGAGAAAGGGAGCCAGTCAAAAGGTCTTTGGTTCTGAAAAAAACTGGGAGTTACTGGTTCACAAGCTAAGTGCTCCATTTCATGGTCCAGCATTCAAGGGACTGTGCCTCACGTGTCGTTTCAGGCTTCTCCTCTGCCCATATCCACCTATACCAAGGGCTTCAGCCACCAGCACCTCTCATCTCTCCGCACACACTTCCACCCATGTTTATGATAATTCTTCTGCCTTCCCCTTGCAAAACCCTCAGTTCATCCTGAAAGACCTTGCTCAGAAGTCCTCTCCCCAGAAAATCTCTCTCTGTAATCAGTGTTCCCTGTCTGGCACTCCTGTAGTCTGGCCTGCATCAGACCAAACCTCAATATTATTTGCAATATTGTCCTTTCTCCTGACCACCTAGAACGTAAGGAGCAAAGTTATGGCGGCTGCTCCCACGTAGTCCATACTGGTTTCTAGCCTTGTTAAATACCCTGTGACTGTGTACTGATCAACATGAATGCCCTTTTCTCATGAGAGACACATATATCACAATGAACTAAACTCTGATTTTCCTCAGATCATTATCACACAGCAGAAGACAGCCTTTGAAATGTTGGAGCAAACTGTCTTTCTTTGTATCCCAGGTCTGCCTCTTGCAAGTCCCTTAATCCTGCCATGTCTGCTTAATGTCTGAATAATGGGTGCAAACTGTCAACACCTGAGATTGGAATGGTTTAAAATGTCTGCCACATAGTAGCTTCCTATATAATTTATTCTTTCCATTATGAGGAATGAGTAGGAAAACTCAACAGTCTCAGGCCACCACAGTCACAGAAAAGAAATTTCAGCCTTCAGTTTCAAATGGAACCTTAGATTTTAGCATTTAGGGCTAGAATTTGCCTTCTACCCTTGCCTTTCTATGTCAAGCTATTACCACAGTTAAATGCCTTCCTCTAGCTCCCATCCATAAATTAGATCTCTTCACACTAAGAGAAGCTTAATTTGCTCCTCAGAGTTATTTCATGGCAATTCTGACCTTATTTCTTCTTTAAAGAACTTCTTACAAATGGATGTCCCGATGCAGGCATTGCATTTATCAAGACCGAGGAACGTCCTTCCCAGAGTGTAGCTGCTTCTGACTCGGGGTACCAGGGACGGAGGGAGAGAAGCTGGTGAGGAAAAAGAACAGCTCAGAGCTGAGACCCACAGCAGCAGTCGGACTGGCCAGCGCTGGTGGAAGGCCGCAGTGTTAGCTCCAGCTAGGGGCTCCATCTCGCTTTCTGTGCTGCAGCTGCCGTGTTGAGTGATACACTTAGAGCAGAACAGAGACCAGGTTTGACCAGAAAGGAAACTGTCAAAAGCAACTGGCCTCAGGATGCTGACCCTATCCCAGCCTCTGAGGTTTCTGTCTGAGGATGCTAAGGAGCTAGCAGCTAATGGGGTTGGGCAGGAGATGAGGAAATCCATGGAGGATGCTGATAACGCATTTCCAAAGTCATTCTTCCTCTGCTTGGGGTGGCTGCCTCAGTCTGGGGAGGGGCACACTGGCAGATTTCAGGAAGGACAATGGTTATGGCTTCCCTGTGTAGTCCTTTTGACAAACACAGGATATCCCAGCTGGGCAGGAAAAGTCCATGCAGGATGTGTGTAGGACCTAGGTTCCACCTGGGAGTTTCAAAGAATCCTGAAGGCCTCCACCCTCCACTGTTTTTATTCTGGGCACATCTGTCCCTGTGGAAAACACACACACACACACACACACACACACACACACACACACACACACACCACCTTGCATACCTCCACCAACATATGCATATACACATCCGCTTCAACCCACCGTACTCCATCACACATAATATACACATACCTCACACCACATAGATATGCACTCCACAGACATACATAACACCTCACGAAATGAACGCCACAAGACATACACAGAGTCTAATACACATACAAACACATGCATCCTATCCCAAATCTCTATCCTACAATCCCTGCGAACACACACATGCACACCACCCCACATCTCACACACACTTCATATCACATATACATATACCACACAACACACACACATAACAAACACTCCATAACATACAGATACACACATACACCACACTCCTTTTCCCCCACCCCACATCAAACACACACATCTCACAGCATATATATATTCCACAACAAAACCCCATAACACACACACATACACACACACACACGGAGTTTAACACACACCACACCCCTATCCTCCATCCTCCTTAACAGACATATATATATATATATATATATATATATATATATATATATATTTACACACACACACACACACACACACACAACCCCATCTCTCTTTTTTTTCTCTCTCTCATACACACCTTATACCACATATAGAAACACCCACAACACAAACCCCATAGCACATACATACACAGAGTTTAACACACACATGTACCACCCCCCCCACACTAACTTCCCCTTCTCTGAAGGTGCTAATCTGTTCTGCACTTAACCAGTCATACTCCCTGACTTTCAGCAAATTCCATAGTGAGATAGCTAGAGGTTAGCTTGCTGGCCATTAGGCAGCACATTTAACACTGATTTGAAAGCTTTTTGTTACTTAAGGAATAGAAAACCCCAGATTAGTCCATTTCTTGCTGATCTGAGAACAAGAGAGTAGAAAGAAGCTGGTGGCCTCTATAGCTTGATGAGGGCAGCAGCAGAAGGAACCCTGCTGTACACAGCTGTGTTCAGCTCTCTTTGTAGGGCTGAAAGCCTCTCTTTTCTTTACCACCTTTCCCCACTTCTCAGCTTTTACTTTACTTGGGACAATTTAAGTGTCCAGAATTGACTTCCTCTGGATACTAAGATGAGGTTCACAGCATGGAGTAGATGGGAATTAACTGTGAGGACCAAATCAGGTTGCCTGACTTTGCAAAAGGGTTGGGAGTACCCTGCTAGGCTACTGTGCATAGGAAGACAAGGCTGGGGGAGGAAAAAGGAAGGTAGGAGGCAATGGGGATGGTGTCAGGGAAGTGATGAGTTTGGCTAAACATTAATGAGAAGAGAGGCTAAGGACAGCTCTCTAGGGGTTAAGCATATACTTATTAGCTATCTTTGTGTTCTTGGTAAAGAGTTTGATCATTTTTGTTATTTATTGCTGATTTAAGAAATGTATTCATTTATTTCTGTGTATGTGTACACACAATGTTACATGTTCTGTGCCATAGTCTGTTTGTGGAGGTCAGAGGACAGCTTTTGGGAATTGGTCCTCTTTTTCTATCTTGTTGAGGTACAATCCTTCTTGATTCTCCCATGCTTCCTATTGCAGATTCACTGACTTCCAAGGTTTAGGGGATTCTCATGTCTTTACTTCCCACTCCCTGTAGGAGTACTGGGATCACAAACATGTACCATGGTGTCCAACTTTTACATGGAATCCAGAGATCTGTACTCAGGTCATCATTCTAGTGTGTCAAGTGCTGCTACTCACTGAGTCATCTCCCTGTTCCTATTGTTAACTTTTGAGATTTTAAAAACATGTTCTAGATCTTAGATCTTTGGTGGCTATGTGATTCTATAGTGTAAACCTAGAATGTCCTCCACAGACAGATGTGTTAGTCTTGTTCTCCAGTCTGTGACGCTGTAGGAAGGTTATGGAAACTTTTATAGGTGGGGCCAGTAGGTGATCCTTCTAGGCCTGGCTCATGACAGAGACTGTAGGCCCATGAGTCTCTTCGTCACTCTTTCTTTGCATCAAAATTATGAGTTATTCTTCCACTGAGTGCTCCCTGCTATGATGTACTGCCTCACAACAAATTCCTGTTGAGCCCTTCAACCACTGAAAACCCCAAAATGGTGCACAGAAATAAACCTCTTTTTCTTTATAAATTGTTTTTCTCATGTATTTGTCACACTGGTGGGAAGCTCTCTGATAGGTAGCTTATGAATATTTTCTCTCAGGTGGCATATTACCTGGTAAGAAAAAATCCTAAGAAGGGGCAGCTCCACCAGTGCAAGACAATCCAATTATGTCAAATCAAACCAAATTAAAATGACCATCATTTTATTAAGTATGGTACTCTTGGATGGCTGAGTGCATGGTGGGGAGGCAGGAAAGTGAGGAGCACATGCAAACCCACAACCATGTGTTTTTCCTCTGAGAGCCCACTTAAATACCCTGTCAGGACCTGGCATGCTGGGATTTGGAGTCCAGACCAATATACTCCTAGGCCAGCGGGGGCTGGGATGGATACCAGGGGCTGGGGTTACACTCCAGACTTAACATTCCAGACTCTTTGGATATAGGGGTGACAGGAAGTTGAAGTGATAGGCTTTCTTTGGATAAAAGGGGGCATAGACTCAAATCTAGCTACTTCCTGCAGCCATAGGGTGACATGGGGAGGGGAGAGCTGGGTGTTGGTGGGTCCATGTTCAGCAGATTGTGTAGCTGGAAAGGCATCCTGATCACTGTCATCCCAGAAATGCCAGGCATTTGTTTCTTAAGGGAGGTAAGAAGGCAGGTGTCTAGGAGAAAAAAATATTGTTATTATTGGACCTTTGAAATGGGGCTAGCCATGGGATGAGATACAATAGCAGATGAAACCAGATTTTATTTGGCAGGTGTCTGTGGTTCAGAAGAGCTGGTACCAATGAAGTCCCAGGAACTGGTACAGGTGCTTTTGGTGTTGTCCCGGGAGCATTTTGTAGATTGGTCTTGACTTAGGCATCAGGAGTAACCTGTAAAATATGCTTAAAACTGGCTGGAGTTAAAAGTTAAAAGCCTTGGATTTTACCAGACCTGATTTTTGATGTAGGATAGAAAATCTGTTAATCCTGAACTATGAAGCCTGTCAAAGAACAGTACCTTTAGTTGTCAAATGCTTTAGACAGATCTGGGAGGAATAGATAAGCAAAAACTGAGACAGCTTTTGGCCAGCACGCAATCCCAAGTTCTCTCCTTGTCTTTGGAGAACATCAGGCTTAGAAGCAGTATTTGCCATTAGCTGTTGAGTGTGAGAGGCCCACAGATTTTTCCTGTGAGCGGGAAGAATTTATTTTACCTGTCTTGGCAAGAAAAGCAGATCAATTCCCTGGGTAAAGGGCCTTTTTGGCTTCTGTGTTGGTGGCTTTGCAAAACAGAGCAAGCCTGGAGATGGCAAGTCTTTTGTCTTCTTGGAGGACACAGGGTACTGCAGAAGTTGGCTGTCTTTGTTGAAGCTCTTGTTGTTAAAATGCCATGATCTCAGAACTAACTATAAAGGCACTTGAGAATCAAGTATTATTACCTGGTACTTTAAACTGGGCATATAAGCTAAATTTTTAAAGCTGTTGTAATTTGGAAGCACACATAAACACAAAACTCAAATTCACATCACGAAAACACAGTTACACACTTAAGCACAGTGAGCACATTATGCTAACAGAGAAACAGGACAGCCTTATGGAACCTGTGTCAGCTGACTAGACACTGCAAGAGAGAACAGAAACATAAAGACAAAACATTTTTGTAGAGTTTTAGAGTGGAAGGATGGGAAAAAAAAAGCGGATTTATTGTCAGCAGAGAAGAGCAGGGCAGGAGCAGTCTGAGCATGGACAACAGAGACCAGGGAAACAGCTCAAGTGCCAGTCTACGGAACCGGCGCTGTGTCTCTGTAACGGATGGGCCAGTGCCACTCTGAATTGGCCATGCCATGTCTCTGTTGTTAGGTGTACAGCAGCGCGTGGTGTTGGAATTGGCCACTTTGGAATGGAAGTGGGGGCAGGACAATATCACTAATGTGAAATCCATTGTTTTTTTTTGGGGGGGGCACACAACAGTGGCTACAGAGGGGCAGAAGTGTGTACAGTGCAAAGAGCTGATGGCGAATGAACATAGAGATGGAAGAGGAGGCGGGATAAAGAGTTGTTGGCCAATGAACACACAGAGAGACGGAAGTAGGGGCGAGACAAAGCAGGGGCACCAACGAACAAAGAAAGAATAGCGGAAGAGGAAAAAAAAACCTTGAGCTCCATACTTAAAAAACAAACAAACAAAACAAAAACCACAGACTTCTGGAGTGTAATTTGCCTTTGCAATTTAAAAAGATTTTTAAGTGCCCACTTAAGGTCATTTGAAATCGGCTAGGAATTGCAAGAAACTCACTTTAAATGCATGCCTCTGACACAAACCTGTTGCAGTGAGTCCTCCTGAAAGGTGGCACCGAGTCAGCTGTTATGTATGGGGTACATGGGAAACTGTCTGGGAACGTCTTCTGGCACCCAAATCTCACTCAGCAGGAGGCCCGGTCTCTGCCGTGTGTGTGTGTGTGTGTGTGTGTGTGTGTGTGTGTGTGTGTGTGTG